CGTGAGCAATCTCGCGACACAGTCACTAATTTGGCTGGCTTCTATATTAGCGCTGTCATTTCACAGAATAACACGCCACCAAATCTGTGGGTGTACATAAAACCGCTGACTAAGGCTGATCTGAACTGAGCGGGGCTCGTGAACTCGCACGAGTCAACGCCGCCGTCATTGACTGCTGTCTTTGTTTAAATCACACTGCACTAGTATATTTAATGAATCCACCGGTTAACTGGTTCATCCAGTACTAAGATGACCAAATGTGGGTTCATAGGACCGAATATTCCGGTTCCGAAGGTCCAAATAATGTGGGAACCGGCCTGTGAGATTTATATTAATTTATATACTTCGATAGCAATTTGTATAATGATAAGTGGACTGTATTTCTGCAATAATCTCATAATCTCACAAATCGATCCTCTACACATTAGGGGGGTTTATATTAATTTAATTTATATATATGCTGCCAATCAAACTACAGTATTAACTACATACATTGAAAAGGTTCCTTATCTTATAGTACAGCAGGTTAGTCCACTAGGTATAACTAGGGTGTAGACACCAAATTATCCTCTTTGAGGTAGCTTCCATCACCCAGGTAACTGATGCACAAAGCATATGCTTCCTCGTCTTGACCTGTCAAAAGGGCGCTAACTGTGAAGCCAGGTTCTATATATGACAAGCTATATCAGAGAAAACACTATACATGGAACATGAAGACCTGGCTTAATTACCTTTAGTTTGAGGCTGCCTCGCGTTCTAACCCGGTCACCCTACCCAATGACATTAATGGCCACTAATGATAGATATACGGGTTTCGGAAAGAACACTTAACTTGATTTGTTGACAGCGTGTTGAAGATGGTACACCTTTGGTTTCCATAACACTACGTCCAAGTAAAATTAACAGGAGCCGTATTTGCTCCCGTGAGCCTCTGGTCTCAGTATCAACAATGGCTATGTCTAACACTCCATACTATTGACGCTACTGGCCGACATTGTCCAGATATGATAGGAGCCAAATTTGCTCCACGCGTCTCGGAGGTGACAATAACAATGGCTGCCCTCCTTCCCCACTGACGCCTGGCCTACATTGTCCAGATGTCAATAAGTGATAGAAGGGTCACATTTACTCTACTTTAATATTGATAATTAAGTTAATTTATATGAGATGTTTTTATAATGGTAAAGTCCAAAGACTAATGTATTTAAGAATAATTCCCACCAGAATAGCTGGTGAATTTATAATGGTATGTGGTGATGATATCCCGTTTTCTTTAGACGGAAATTCCACTACAAGTTACGTTTTCTATGAGTAACTTGTTTATACAATACAGCTATTATCTGTATGATTATTAAATGGTGTCGGATTTTCCGACAGTTCACACGAACGTGACACATATCAGAATATATATAGAAATCCTATTGTATGATATAACGTCACTGTGGTCCAGTGGTAGAGTGTGCGACTGGTACTGCCGGGGTCGCAGGTTCGTGATCAGAAGAGAATCGTAACTGACTCATGGTGATGTACTCGAATATAGATGAGATTACATGCAAGTCAAGTGAACTAAGGGAAATTGCACAAGAAATGAACCCGGATGTAATTGGACTCGCCTCACAGCCCTGGTGGATTTGCTAACATTTCACCTGTTGTCTGGACCCAGAGCCATTGTAGTCATTATATGTAACCCTGAGTGTAGAGTACACAGCACAGGGATTGACATATGTGGACCTGTGTCCACAGTATACGGAGCTGTGGCCACAGTATACAGAGCTGTGGCCACAGTGTACGAAGCTGTGGCCACAGTGTACGGAGCTGTGGCCACAGTATACGGAGCTGTGGCCACAGTGTACGGAGCTGTGGCCACAGTATACGGAGCTGTGGTCACAGTATACGGAGCTGTGGTCACAGTATACGGAGCTGTGGTCACAGTATACGGAGCTGTGGTCACAGTGTACGAAGCTGTGGTCACAGTGTACGGAGCTGTGGTCACAGTATACGGAGCTGTGGTCACAGTATACGGAGCTGTGGTCACAGTATACGGAGCTGTGGTCACAGTATACGGAGCTGTGGCCACAGTGTACGGAGCTGTGGCCACAGTGTACGGAGCTGTGGCCACAGTGTACGGAGCTGTGGTCACAGTATACGGAGCTGTGGTCACAGTATACGGAGCTGTGGCCACAGTGTACGGAGCTGTGGCCACAGTGTACGGAGCTGTGGCCACAGTGTACGGAGCTGTGGCCACAGTGTACGGAGCTGTGGTCACAGTATACGGAGCTGTGGTCACAGTATACGGAGCTGTGGTCACAGTATACGGAGCTGTGGTCACAGTATACGGAGCTGTGGCCACAGTATACGGAGCTGTGGCCACAGTATACGAACCTGTGTCCACAGTATACGAACCTGTGTCCACAGTATACAGAGCTGTGGCCTCAGTGAACGGACCTGTGGCCACAGTATACCGAGCTGTGGCCACAGTATACAGAGCTGTGGCCACAGTATACGGAGCTGTGGCCACAGTATACGAACCTGTGGCCACAGTATACCGAGCTCTGGCCACAGTATACAGAGCTGTGGCCACAGTGTACGGACCTGTGGCCACAGTATACCGAGCTGTGTCCACAGTATACGGAGCTGTAGCCACAGTATACGGAGCTGTGGCCACAGTATACGAACCTGTGTCCACAGTATACCGAGCTATGGCCACAGTATACCGAGCTGTGGCCACAGTGTACAGAGCTGTGGCCACAGTGTACGGACCTGTTTCCACAGTATATAGAGCTGTGACCACAGTATACGGACTTATGGCCACAGTATACAAACCTGTGGCCACAGTATATGGACTTGTGGCCACAGTATTCGGACCTGTGTCCACAGTATACGAAGCTGTGGCCACAGTATACGGACCTGTGTCCACAGTATACGGAGCTGTGGCCACAGTGTACGGAGCTGTGGCCACAGTGTACGGAGCTGTGGCCACAGTATACGGATCTGTGGCCACAGTATACGGATCTGTAGCCACAGTATGGAATCATGTGGTCAGTGTTCACAATCTTGAGTGAGGTGCTCAGTTGTGGAAAAAGTGGTACAAAATTTGTATTTGCGAAGTAATGTTGATTAATGCATAGGATAATTACCTCCTCAAATACTTTTATAAATCTATATAATTTGTGTTCACTATTGTCAGTAATATTGAATGAGTGTAAGGTAAGGGTGAGTGTGGTGAGGCCAGAGTGTGAGGTGGACTGTGCCAGGTTGTCATCACGGTAACCCAGTCCTCTCTTATCACACACCTCCAGTTTAACACAATATCTTCTTGTTTACACGCTGCTCACCAGGAGTCCAGTCCCCTCAGCCCTGGACATGTTCCGACCCCATCACTGCATGTTGTCTCTAGCTCCTCCGCGCCCCCTACCCCATCAACTCACTCTCATCCCATGTGTAGCTCCCGCTCTATGCACCCCATTATACCCGAGAACAGCACAATCTCCACAACTAGCCCCATAAGTGCTTCCACCTCTGTTAGTGCATTCAGGTTCAAGAGCGGCCAGGGAGGCGTGTCGGTAGGCGTGAGTAAGAGCGCCACGCTGCCCTCACTGTGTGACGAGCCTGTAGTTAGTGTCACACAGTCTCGCAGTCATCAGTTCTCTCTTGCCCAGCATCATTCTCATCACATGCAGCCTCCTCACGGACAGTCATCTGTTGCTAGTCCACTGTCCTTGCACCTCGCATCATCATTGTCTCTCTCATCTAGCTCAGTCCCAGCGACTTCCCTGCCTTCAACATATAGATGCCACAGACTACACAGCCTTCAACACACTCCTACCACACTCCCACCAGCCGCCAGGACCAGACATTCTACGTCACCGTCGTCAGTACCATCCCGTCCAATCATTTCCTCAGGCTTCAAGACATCTAAATCAATACCAATTAGTCTATGTCAAACTACTAGTTTGAAAGATTGCATAGAATCTGCACTACCAGGTCCTTCTAGTATATCCCAGCAGCATTCGTCACATAGCAGTCACCCTGCGCTACTATCAACAAATGTTTTAGGAGACTCATCGCCATGTACGCTCGCAAAGAGCGAGAGCACCTCACTTTCTATTCCAATTTTCCACTCTCAGTCAACTCCAGCGACGTCACTGGGCTCTTTAACCTGTTATTCGCCGCCTTCATCATCTCAGTCATGCACTACTGTCACCACTGCTGCTCCTCATTCATTAACATCCATTCACGCTGCACAATCTTCACACGACAGCAGTAAACCTGTTGCCTCACTAGCCACACGTCACGTCACAACCTCCTCCTCCTTCCACCCACAGGCTTCTACAGCCCAATTAGTCGCATCAGAAATAAAAGCAGTTCCATCTGGGTCACAGCACGACACTGTGGATGGAGATCAAGAACTATTACTAACTTTCTCCCTTCCAACCTCTTCAAAAGACACTGATTCACAGTTTGCCACATTAGAAACCTCACTTGATTTTCCCTTAGCTGAGTCAGCATTATCACAGAGTTTTATCGATGGGCAAAACCTTTTTTGTCATATACCATCACAACCCGACCCGTCACTTCTTCACCCGTCACAGATCGACCCGTCACAACTGACCCCCTCCCCCCCAACTCCTACACAGCCTCACCCCCCAGATGCCACCCCCGCACCCCCTCCAACCCCACCAGTCCCAGTGAGTCCCTCCAGTCCTTCAAGTTGTGGAGTCCTGCAGAGGATTGTTGACCTTATGGTAAGGTGAAACTCAAGCACGATACCAGTCTGTATCGCTCACGTAACAATAGTAATGTTAATGTCCCTATAGGTTTAATTCATTAAAGTTTCCATCTGTAAGTACATAAATGAATGCAATATTTTAGATACTTTAAGTGATGTATGACTCAATGTAAAAAAAGATGTCTCACCATTTCTTATTTTTAACTTAATTAAGCTTGAGACTAAATATAGTGTGAGTAGTGAGAGTAATGTTGTGATGGTTGTGGTGCAGGTGGACCTGAGCAGCTACAACAAGCGGGCCGTCAGCTTCCTGGCCAGGAACTTTTACAACCTCAAGTATGCCGCGCTCGTCCTCGCCTTTTGTATCAACTTTATCCTTCTCTTCTTCAAGGTGGGTCTACTTTATCCTTCTCTTCTTCAAGGTGGGTCAACTTTATCCTTCTCTTCTCCAAGGTGGGCCAACTTTATCCTTCTCTTCTCTTCTTTAAGGTGGGCCAACTTTATCCTATTCTTCAAGGTGAGTCAACTTTTTATTAGCAATTCGTGTCTTACTGGTGTGATGATATCCAAGACATGATGGTGTGGAAAAGTGAAAGCTTTTTACTTACTATGTTCATCAAAGGATTTTACTGTGCTTGTAATTACACACACACACACACACACACACACACACACACACACACACACACACACACACACACACACACACACACACACACACACACACACACACACACACACAGGACACAGATGGAGGCTAATAAAGAAGTAGAAAAGTATAAATAAGAAATAAAAGAGACGTATGCACAAGTTGTAAAAGAGAAAGAGACAATCAAGGAAGTGTGTTTGGAAGTCAAAACCAGAAATGACCAGCAGAAATTAAGAAAAATGAAGAAGCAGAAATTAGGCAAGCAATTAGGAAAGAACTGGTTACCAACAGTAAACTAGTACAAAACACTGCTGACAGAAGTAAGTCCATAATAATTTTTGGATGTTTAGAGAAGGAAATTCCATCTAAGATGGACCGAGCAGCAGAAGAGATGAAAATCATAGAGAAAATAGTAGGCTTAGGAGAAGGCTCAAAGGAAAATGTCAGTGATTTTAGAAGAATAGGAAAATATGAGAAAGACAAGAACCGCCCCTTAAGGGTGACGTTTAATGGAGTGAAAAACATGATGGAAGTGCTTAAAAATGCCAGGAAATTGCAGAGTGATGAGGATGGCAAACTTTGGTCACTAAAACAAGACCTCTCAAAGGAAGACAGAGAAAAGCTGAAAATGAACCTTATTGAAGCAAAACGTCTAAATGGGATTTGGACGAAGACGAAGCTTAGAAATGAAGAAGACAGAAATTCTTTTTTCTACAAAGTGTCAGGGACTGGAAAGTTAGTGAAATAGTACATAAAAACAAGGCAACAAAATCATTAGTGGAAGGGGGAATAAAGAGCAAAGGGAAAGGGAACATGTTCCTGAAAATTGTATATACCAACATAGATGGAGTTACATTAAAAAACAAGGAAGTTGCAAGATATAATTTAACTTAAGATCCCAGATATTGTCGCATTATCAGAGATAAAACTTGAAGGAAATATTTTAAATGAAGTCGTATTCCCAAGGGACTACTCAGTTTGGAGACGTTTCAGGACAACACGGAAGGGGGGAGGAGTGGCTGTATGTTACCACCCTTGAGACTAAACAAGGTTCTTCTCCCCGCAGTGCAATAAAGAAAAATAATAAATCGGCCTTGCCAACAACTGTCTAGGGGTAAATATACATCACTGCATAAAATGGAGAACAATATATTTATGCTAAGGGGGACAAACGTAATAACACTTAAATGTATAAATAATAACCAGAAATATTCTTCAGCATGCAAATCATAGAATAACCTCCTTATTGAGACATGAGCACTATCACCAAGACATGGATTAATTAAAGAGATATATACAATATCAACTAACCAGATAATTAACATTTATATGGGCTAAAATAACAGTGACCAATGACTTAACTTAAACCATGACTCCTCACGACAGCAGCCGCCACGCTTCTGCCCCACGCCTTGGTCCGCAGGCCAAGCGTCTACCCAAAAATCAACTAACCGTCCACACAAACATTGTGGAAAATCTAATAATAAAACGCAGCACTAATATTCAAAACATTGTTAAACTAAAGAGTAGTAAACACTGGTACAACATTCCATACAATAATACAGAAACCAAATATGGGCATAACTCAATGTAAACTATAAACACTCGATTGACAACAATGTTCCCACACTGGCCATATCCAAATATGGTCAACCGCCCACACGGAGAAACTACATGAGAAATTAACACCAAAAGCCTCACACAATATAATGTAACTCAGGCACACTACTGCATGCTATAATATATATATATATATATATATATATATATATATATATATATATATATATATATATATATATATATATATATATATATATATATATATATATATATATATATATATATATATATATAACATACAAAATCTTATATCATACAACTGGATGCTATATTAAAGAACAAGACAATAAAGTAATATGAGAATCAAGAGTAATGGCAGAATCCTAGTGAGATTCGTAACACTGTACTGGTCAAAGAACACCTAAAGGAAAGAGAGTCAATACTTAAAAATCCTCAAGAAGTTGACATAATGGCATTGCAGGTCTGGAATCAGGATGATAAACTGATAATTGTAAATGCCTACAGCCCACCAGCAAGCAACACATGGACAAAGGAAGAACTGGATGACAAACGAGAGGGCCTCACAATGGTCATGAGAGAAATTATAGTACAAGCGGATAAAGATCAATCACGACTGTTGATACTGAGGGACTTCAGCTTTAAAGCAATAGACTGGGAGGCTTATGAAGCAAGAACCAAGGAATTTTGGACATGTAGATTTGTAAACTTCATTCTGGAGACATTCTTGTATCAACACGTCAAGCAGGCCACAAGAATGAGGGAAGGGGATGTACCATCAGTACATGATCTAGTATTCACCAGGAAAGAAGAAGAGGTATTTGACATCCAGTACCTTCCTCCCTTGGGAAAGAGTGATCATGTCTTGTTAGACATTAAATATTCCTTAAAATATCACCTAGAAGAAAATGGAGACATTGAAACAGTTAATAAACTTGATTTTAAAAGAGGACACTATGGGGAACTTCGGAAATTTTTTTATGAGTGTAATTGGACAGACTTGTTGCTAGGCAGGGAAGTAAATGAGATGTATGCCAAATTTTGCAAAATATATGATGAAGGCACACAAACATTCATACCTAAACAAAGATGAAGAGCCAGAAAACAGGATTGGTTCAACATAAATTGTGAGAGGGCCAGAGACCAAAAGACACAAAAATGGAATCAATATAGGAAGAGCCCAAACCCTCAAACATACCAGCGATACAAAGATGTGAGAAACAACTACACAGCAGTAAGGAGAGAGGCAGAAAGACATTTAGAAAAGGAATAGCAGATAAATGTAAAACAGAACCAGGCCTATTCTACAAATTCATAAACAACAAATTGCAGGTAAAGGATAATATCCAGAGGTTGAAAATGGGAAACAGATTCACGGAAAATGATAAGGAAATGTGTGAAACATTAAATGAAAAGTTCCAAAGTGTGTTTGTACAAAATGAAATCTTCAGAGAACCAGACACAATAAGAATTCCAGAGAACAACATAGAGCGGATAGAGGTGTCTAGAGATGAAGTGGAAAATATGCTCAAGGAGCTAAGTAAGAACAAAGCAGTTTGTCCAGATTGAGTTTCACCATGGGTTCTGAGAGAATGTGCACCTGAGCTCAGCATTCCACTTCACCTGATTTTTCAGACATCCCTGTGTACAGGAGTTGTAGCATATGCATGGAAAAAGGCTAACATAGTTCCAATCTACAAAAGTGGCAGCAGGGAAGACCCCTCAATAGACCCGTATCGTTGACAAATGTAATCGTCAAAATATTGGAAAAAATAATAAAAACTAAATGGGTAGAACACCTGGAGAGAAATGATATAATATCAGACAGACAGTATGGTTTTCCATCTGGAAGATCCTGTGTATCGAATTTACTCAGTTTCTATGATCGAACTAGAGAGATGTTACAGGAAAGAGATGGTTGGATTGAGGGCATTTATCTGGACCTAAAAAAGGCTTTCGACAGAGTTCCACATAAGAGGTTGTTCTGGAAATTGGAAAATATTGGAGGGGTGACAGGTAAGCTTCTAACATGTATGAAAAATTTTCTGACTGATAGAAAAATGAGGGCAGGTATCAGAGGCAATGTATCAGACTGGAGAAATGTCACAAGTGGAGTACCACAGGGTTCAGTTCTTGCACCAGTGATGTTCATTGTCTACATAAATGATCTACCAGATGGAATACAGAATTATATGAACATGTTTGCTAAGATAATAGAAAGGATAAGAAACTTAGATGATTGTGATGCCCTTCAAGAAGACCTGGAATAGACCATATAAGTATATGGAGCACCACTTGGCAAATGAAATTTAATGTGAATAAATGCCATGTTATGGAATATGGAATAGGAGAACATAGACCCCACACAACCTATAAATTATGTGAGAAATCTTTAAAAAATTCTGATAAAGAAAGAGATCTAGGGGTGGTTCTAGATAGAAAACTATCACCTGAGGACCACATAAAGAACGTTGTGCGAGGAGCCTATGCTACGCTTTCTAACTTCAGAATTGCTTTTAAATACATGCATGGTGAAATACCAAATAAATTGTTTAGGACTTTTGTTAGACCAAAGCTAGAATATGCAGCGGTTGTGTGGTGCCCATATCTTAAGGTGCCCATATGCACCATGTGTGGTGCCCATATCTTAAGGTGCCCATATGCACCATGTGTGGTGCCCATATCTTAAGAAGCACATCAACAAACTGGAAAAGGTGCAAAGACATGCTACTAAGTGGCTCGCAGAACTGAAGGGCAAGAACTACCAGGAGAGGTTAGAGGCATTAAAAATATGCCAAAACTAGAAGACAGAAGAAAAAGAGGTGATATGATCACTACATACAAAATAGTAACAGGAATTGATAAAATCGATAGGGAAGATTTCCTGAGACCTGGAACTTTAAGAACAAGAGGTCATAGATTTAAACTAGCTAAACACAGATGCCGAAGAAATATAAGAAAATTCACTTTCGCAAACAGAGTGGTAGACGGTTGGAACAAGTTAAGTGAGAAGGTGGTGGAGGCCAAGACCGTCAGTAGTTTCAAAGCGTTATATGACAAAGAGTGCTGGGAAGACGGGACACCACGAGCGTAGCTCTCATCCTGTAACTACACTTAGGTAATTACACTTAGCTAATTACACACACATACACAGAAGTTGA